TGTTCGTAAGAGCCTCCATTTCCATTGTGCCCGTGTCGTCGGATTCTTCAGATGTGGCTCCGGCAAGCCCCGCCAGTGGATCTTTACCCAGCCGGAGTGCCGCGATTAACCCGTATATTTTGGGCCAGTCCCAGCCTAGGATCATAGGATACAAAATACCCTCATCGAGGCCCACCGGCATCTGCCGTCGAACGCCCCTTACTTGGACCTCTAGCATTCGCCTTTTGACATATGATTTCTGTTTGTGCAGACAGATCATATGCACCCCGGGACATCGTGGGGCCCATTGCCATTCTACCACGGAGGGCTGCACCAGGGACTGGGCACACCCGGTATCCATTACCGCCGTAACGGAGCATCCACCAACCCACGCTGGTATCTCTGGTAAGGGCAGGATTCCTTTAGTTTCTTGGCCTCCGGCCCCGCAATCCATCGCCTCTATTTCTGTCGGTTCTTCCCGGGTCCTCCGATCATCTGGGGTTCCAGTGCCCCTGACCGGCCAGGCCCGTGGTCCCTGTGGGCAGTTCTTAGCAAAATGCCCCTTCCGCCCACATAGGAAGCATGTGAGGGTTGTGGGACTGCTCTTTCTGTTACCCCTACCTTCCTTTCCTGGCCTGAGGTTGAAGGGCTTTCCCTTGGTCTCCCTGACCTGCAACGGATCGCCCTGTGCCATTTCAAATTGCTTAGCCAGCCGCAGTGCTTCTCTGGACGAGGGGGGACAATAACACTTCACCCAACGCCGGGTATCTTTGTCCAGGTCCGCTATGAATTGTTCCAATAGGATCTGGTCACATATTTCATCCTTTGAGGCCACTTCCGGCCTAAGCCACTTGTTTAGCTCGTCCTCCAGGAATTGCCACAGGAGGTGGGGAGTCTTTCCTTCTCCAGTCTTTTCCCTCCGGAAGGCCTGGCGGTGTCGCTCCGGGGTAATGTCCAACCGGTGCAGGATTTCGGCTTTGACTTTGTCGTAATCCTGGGCATCCCCCTGGACATGGCCCTGTATGCGGCCTAGGCCTGTCCGATCAGTAGGACCCCTAGGTGGCCCGCCCATTTTGCCTTTTCCACCCCTGCGGCTAAGGCTGCTCTCTCAAACATTTCCAGGAAGGCCTCCGGGTCGTCTTCCTTAGACATCTTGGGTATCCCGAACTCCCAGGGCCCCCTCTGGGCCCATGCCTGCTGCTGGAGCATCCGCTCCTGCAGGCTCGTTTGCCTCATAGTGTGCTGTTGTTGTTGTTGCATGACTTGGGCCATCAAATTCATGGCCTG